TGTCCGGCCTGTTCACTCTGGACACCGTGACCCCTCCGGCTGGGGCGCCCCCTCAGGTGGCTGCGTCTACCCAGGTTGCTGCTGCCTGCTCCTGTCGGTCCCTCACTCACCCGACGCTCCTTTAGCACCACCGCCTAGGTCACCTTGCGCTCCCGCGTCTGCATCACATGTCCCAGCACGGTCTCGTCCTTGGTCTCCCTGGTTCTCTCCCCGCTTTTCCCTCCTCCCCAGCCCCACCTTGCACGCCTTGCGTCGAGGGTCGGCTTCGCCGTGCCCCTCACTCCTCCTCGTTTCCCCCTACTGCCGCGCCGCTGCAGACCCTGCACATGGACGTCTGGGGCCCCGCCCCCGTCCATGGGCCGCGTCGAGAGCACTACTTCCTTGTGCTTGTCGACGAATTCACTCGCTACACCTCGGTCTTTCCCCTGGAGCGGAAGGTCGACGTGCCTGCCGCTCTCATCCTCTGGCTTGTCTCTGCCCGTGTCCACCGAGGTCTCCCTGTCTTGCGCCTTCACTCCGACCGTGGTGGCGAATTTGCCTCAGGTGTCCTTGGTCGCTTTTGTCGTGTGGAGGGCATCACCCAGACGTTCACCCTACCAGACTCCCCACAGCAGAATGGGGTCGCTGAGCGACGCATCGGTTTGGTCATGGAGGTGGCTCGCACCTCCATGATCCATGCTGGTGCACCCCATTTTCTGTGGCCGTTCGCTGTGCGCTACGCTTCTCACCAGCTTAACCTGTGGCCGCACCCCCAGCAGCCGCAGGTTTCGCCGACCCGTCTTTGGACTGGGTCTCCTGGTGACGCGTCTGCGTTCCACGTCTGGGGCTGCCTTGCTCACGTCCGTGCCTCCGGCACAGACAAGCTTACTGCCCGCACCCTTCCGTGCGTCTTCCTCCGTTTTCCCCTTGACGCGTTCGACTGGCACTTTTACCACCCGCCGTCTCACCGCTTCTTTCACTCTCGCGACGTCACCTTTGACGAGTCCGTCGCCTACTACCGTCGCTTCCCCCACCGCGGTCCCCCGGTTACCCCCCCCCCCTGTTCCTGGTCACTCCTTCCCCGGTAGTCCTTGCCCCTCCCCCTCCTCCTCCCCGTCCTGCCCCCTCTGGTGTGTCCCACGTCACCCCTCTTCCGTCGGTGGTCCCGGTTGAGGAGTCTTCTGACTCTGGTGGTCGTGCGGCGTAGTCCTCGCCGGCTGCCCCTCCCCAAGCGTCCCCTCCTCCACCGCCTCTGCCGCCGCTGTCGCCCCTGTTGTCGCAGCCGTTGTCACCTCCGCCGCCGCCGCCGCCGTCGTTGTCGCTAACGCTGCCGCCGCCGTCGCAGCACCAGTTCGTTGACTCTGGGGGTGCTGGCGTTGGCGTGCGTGCTAGTCCCGGTACCCCTGGGGGTGGTACCAGTCCTCGAGGTGTTTCGAGCCCTGGATGTGTTCCCTCTGGGGGTGCTGGCGTGGAGTGTGCTGGTGGTAGCCGAGGAGCAGCTTGCGGTCCCGGTGTCGGCGTTGTGCCGCCGCAGCAGCAGTCCCTGCCGGTGTCAGCCCTTCGCCTGCTCGGCCTTCCGTCCCCTGACCCTGCGTCGGTTCCTCTCCGGCCGTCTCCTCCTCTTCCCGTGTACGGCCCTGTGTTCCCTCCACCGGACTCGTCCCTGGCTCGTCTTCCCCCTCGTTCCCCCCCTGTGTCCCCTCCCCTGTCTCCTGACCCGACTCCTCCGTCTCACGTCTGGTCTCACCGTCCCTCCCGTGCTCGTCCTGCCTCCCCTGTCTTGCGCTCCCACGTTATGTTGCTTCGTTCCCACGCGTCTCGTCCTCCCCTTCTCCCGTCGCCTCCTCCGTCCTCCCTTGTTGTTGCCCCCCCCCCTCTGTCTAACTACCTTCGTGCCGCTCGTCCTCTTGTTCTTCGAGTCCTTGCCTCTCTCGTTACCGACCCGTCTGTTCCGGTCTCGTGCCTTGACGCTCTAGTAGCTGCGGTCGTTGACTTCGCCTCTACCCGCCGCCTTGACTACGCCACTGCTCTGGTCTCTGACCATGCCTGTCCTCCGTCTGTCGGGGGTGCACCTGCCCTCGGCAGTGACGTCCTGGAGGACCGCCAGTTCGAGCTTGCTTTCCTCTCCGAGGCTGCTCCCCATCTCTGTTCCATGCTGCTAGTCCCTGAGGGTGACCCAGACGCTTTTGACATCCCGACCCCTCGCACTTACGCTGAGGCGACTTCGGGACCTTGGGCCTCGCAGTGGATAGCTGCCATGGAGCAGGAGATGCATCTTGGAGATCCACCGGCACCTTCGTCGACGCAGTTCCCCCGCCTGGGGTGAACGTAGTCGATGGCCGCTGGCTCTTCAAGGTGAAGCGCCCTCCTGGAGAGCCGCCTGTGTTCAAGGCGCGCTACGTGGCTAGAGGCTTCAGACAGCGTGAGGGGGTGGATTTCTTCCAAACCTTCGCTACGACCCCGAAGATGACTACTCTTCGGGTTCTGTTACACCTAGCTGCTCAGCGTGACTACGAGCTTCACTCCCGCAACTTCTCCACTGCCTTCCTTCAGGGCAGCTTTCACGAGCAGGTCTAATTGCGTCGCCCTCAGGGCTTTACTGGCACCTTCCCTCCTGGGACCCAGTGGCTCCTGCGACGCCCCGTCTACGGCCTTCGCCAGGCTCCCCGTGAGTGGCACGACACGCTGCGTGCTACCCTTGCTGACCTGCACTACTTTCCGTCTTCTGCAGACCCCTCACTCTTTGTTCGTGCTGGCCAGACTCCGTTCTAGATCCTTGTTTACGTCGACGACCTGGTCTTTGCCACAGCAGACAGGGACGCACTGGCCTCAGTGAAGGCAGAGCTGCTGAAGAGACACACATGCACAGACCTTTGAGAACTGTGCCGTTACCTTGGCTTGCAGATCTCCAGGGACAGAGCAGCGCGCACCATCACCCTGACTCAGTCACACTTGGTGCGCCAGGTCCTTCAGAGGTTCGGTCTTCAGTTCTCCTCTGCACAGCCCACCCCTCTGCCTGTAGACCACAGACTCTCTGCTCCAGTTGTTGAGGAGTCGGTAGAGCCCAGCGGCCCCTACGCAGAGCTGGTCGGTTGCCTCATATACCTGATGACTTGCACTCGCCCAGATCTCGCATACCCTCTCAGCATCCTGGCTCGCTTTGTGGCCGCAGGCAGACACCGACCGCAGCACTGGTCTGCCGCTAAGAGGGTTTTGCGTTATCTTGCTAGTACATCAGACATGGGGTTAGTGCTAGGAGGACGTGGGCCAGTGGTCCTTACTGGACACACAGACGCTTCTTGGCAGACGACGCCGAGACAATCAGGTCTACCCAGGGCTACTGCTTCAGCCTTGGTTCAGGTGCCGTCTCGTGGAGAGCTACTCGCTCCTCGTCTGTTGCCCAGTCCAGCTGTGAGGCCGAGATCTACGCTGGTGCCATGGCGGCACAGGAGCTCCGCTGGCTGACCTTCTTGCTCACTGACTTAGGAGAGCGGCCTAGCTCTGCCCCGGTCCTGTTCGCTAACAACAGGGCCATGATCCTCCTGTGTCAGGAGCCTCGACTCGAGGGCAGAGCGAAGCATATTCAGCAGCGGTACTTCCTCCTGCGCGAGCTACAGCAGCGACGCCAGGCTCGCGTAGTACACTTGGCCTCAGGTGCCAACACAGCTGATATCTTTACGAAGGCGCTTGCGCCTAAAGATCATCAGCGGCACTGTGTACAGCTTGGTCTAGTTCCTGTAGCCTCTCACTTGCTAGGGCCTTGACTTTGTACTGTCCTTTATATGTGTACTCAGACTGGACTTGTTTCCTCTCCCAGTGGCTGGACTAGTAGTGCCGCCCTGAGCTGCTTGTTCAGGACCTGCCCCTATGCAGTCTAGGGGGTGTGTCAAACATATGTATCTCCTATGTTTGCATGGACTGTATAGGGCCACCTCTTAGAGGGTACAACACTTAGGTATATTCACCTGTTCTCTCTCTCTCTACTCAACATTCAGTTCTCACTTTGACATTGTGGCCCTTGTTCCAGTGGCTGGACTAGTAGTGCCGCCCTTGATTGCTCTTGTTTAATTTGTACTCTTGCGTACTGGTCTTTGGACCCTTGCTTCAGAGGTTGGACTGGTAGTTCCACCTTGAGCTGTGTGTTTCTTGCCAGGCACTGCCCCTCAACTAGCCTAGGGGGTGTGTCAATCATATTTTGTATATGTCTTATAGGCTAGATAGGTGCGTCGTACTCTTGGAGGGTACAATCCCTTTGACAAAATCAACCTGTTTGCATCATTGTAGACATTCGTTATTAGTTAAATAAAATCAGCGTGACCGAAAACCAATCTTATGGCTTGAGTGACAGGTAAGCATTGACTCCCCCCTTCTTCATCAACGTCGCCATCCATTCGGCTCTGGTTTCGTTCGCCACCGGTTTACGTCCGTCATGCTGGGAATGCTTGTTTGGAAATTGGTTGCTCCACTATTGGTTCCTTTGTTTTGGTGCGTCATGAGTTGCGCTTGTGTTTCTCTAATTCTCGTACGCCTCATCCTCCAGATTTTTATGTTATCATATGTTTTTACTGTTTTGACACCCGCAATTTTTTATTTAATCAGCTGCCGTAAACCGAACCAACTGTAAACCTCCACGCTATCAGTGCATGAATGTCGAACCGAGTCAGCTTCATGGCCCTAATCAAGTTTGCCCTGCGAGCTCTTGCTCTAGCAATTCATCGAACCGCCAAACCCAATGCCACGCGGATGGCACGAACCGGACTCAGAGCCTGTGGATGTCCAATGATTGCCAGGTGGCTCTGTGTACATGCACATGGCCTGCGGTAACCTTCCAGAACGGCTTATCTGCCCGTCGATTCGTCCAGTTCAGCTGAAATCGAACCGTTCGTCGGTAAGCAGGGAGGCATCTGATCCGATTCCAGGTTCTGTCAGCACTCCTGAAATTCGCCTGACTGGCGAACGAAATCGCTAGTGCATCATCACAGACTGGACCTGTTTTAGGGTCTCCTGAACATCGAGCTCATCTTGTTCCAAGTCGTCTCTTCACTTAGTGTCCCGAGGATAACTTGTGTACAATTTCCCTCGTAGAAATTGGCGAGCCGTGTTTCTGCACGAACCGCTCGTGCGCTGCCTCCCTCGTGTCGTCCTTTCTTCCATTGATCTGCTAATTTTGCTTCTCTGCCACTATGGCTGCCACTCTCTCGTCGCCCTGCCTATCCGGCGTTCTAACAACACCCGCCACGAAGCAATTGCAGCTTAGACTCCAATCAGCTAGCCATGTCTCGCTAGCTCCTGTCTCCGTCTCAGCTCCACGATTCGCTGCGGGGGTTCAGGGACGATGGAGCGCATCCGGCGGCGCGACGACAAGAGCCATGGCGGTCGACGCGCAGATTGAGGGAGCGACGGCGGCGGCGGAGGGGGAGCGGCCAGTGATGCTGGAAGTAAAGGGCCTGAAGGCGGTTATCACGGAATCAGGGAAGGAGATTCTGCACGGCGTCGACCTCTGCATTCGCGAAGGCGAGGTGAGAATCCAAAATTTTGGCGAACCGAAATTGCCAATTTACACGACGGAAGTCTGAGAATCACAACTTTGTTCAGCGTTGCATACTTAAGCTTTCTACCAGTAGCTTCTACGTCGTCGTAGCAGGGATGCCACAAACTCAACTCTTAGCTTTCCTTTCTTCTCTTCCGGTTCCACTCCCCCACCCGCGGCTGCTGTTTCAGGTGCACGCGATCATGGGGAAGAACGGCTCCGGAAAGAGCACTCTCTCGAAGGTAAGTCTTGGACTCAGTTGTATTCTCAGGTGCACTTTCAGGTGCTTTCTCAGGTGCACGCGATCATGGGGAAGAACGGTTCCGGAAAGAGACTCTCTCAAAGGTAAGTCTTGGATGAACCCCGCCTCATTGTGCAAGAACTTCAGCTGCATTCTCAGGTGCACTCTCAGGTGCTTTCTCAGGTGCATGCCATCATGGGAAAAAACGTCTGACAAGAGCATTCTCTCTTTCTAAAATAAGGCTTCGTTGCTGAAGTTGTAAGAGTTCCCTTACTTCAGAAAGAGCACTCACTCTAGGCGAAGGATTCGCGGAAAATGAGCTCTTCCCGTTTACCTCCCCTCACCTCCCCCTCACCTCCCCTCCAACCCCTCAGCAACAAATAGAATCCGCACGTGTATCAGGTGCTAGTGGGTCACCCGGACTACGAGATCGCTGGAGGGTCACTGACATACAAGGGGGAGGACCTACTGGGGCTGGAGTTCTTTTGTCCTTCGCATTCGCCGCCCCCCAACCGTGTACAGGTGCTGGTGGGTCACCCGGACTACGAGATCACAGGGGTCACGGTGACATACAAGGGGGAGCATTTGCTGGAGGTGGAGGCGGAAGAGAGAAGCCAATATGCCGCTTGCTCGCCCACCCTCCTTCCCTCCCGTCAGGTGCTGGTGGGACATCCAGACTACGAGATCACAGGGGGCACGGTGACGTACAAGGGGGAGGATCTGCTCGAGTTGGAGCCCGAGGAGAGGAGCCACGTGGGCGTGTTCCTCTCCTTTCAGTCGCCCGTGGAGCTGCCCGGAGTCAACAACGTCGACTTCCTCCGCCTCTCATGCAACGCGCGCCGGGCAGCCAAGGGGTTGCCGGAAATGGAGCCACTAGAGGTAAGCTGGCTGATTTTGAACATCTGTTACTGCAGTGCTGGTTGCTCGTGTAAGGCCACCTTGATAAGCAGCTTGCTTGCTTGCTGCCGGAATTCCGAGAACCTGCACGGACTTGTGAACGAACGGTGTGAATTCTGATAGAAGGTTTTACAGCTCGCCGAGCCCCAAGCTCGAGGAGCTCAACATGGACATGAACAATCTCCAGCGCAACGTGAACGAGGGCTTTAGCGCTGCCTCTAGTGCATCTGCTATCCCATCCCATGCCCCTCCCTCCCTTCCCCCCCCTCAGTTCTACAGCTTCCTGAGCCCCAAGCTCGAGGAGTTGAACATGGGCCTTAAGTACCTGCAGCGCAACGTGAACGAGCACTTGGGATTTGGCGCTGACTCACACTCTGGCACGTGAGGAGCTGAACATGGACCTAAGTACCTGCAGCGCCACGTGAACGAGGGCTTCAATGCTGAGTGAAGCACTCCTCCTGCTCCCCCCATCCATCCCTCCTCTCCCTGCTGCCCTCCCTCCCAGTTCGTCGGCTTCCTGAGCCTCATGCTCGAGGAGTTGAACATGGGCCTCAACTACCAGCAGTGCAACGTGAAGGAGGGCTTCAGCGCTGACTCACACACTCATGCTACCACCATTCCTCGTCTCCCTCCCTCTGCTGCTTCCAGTTCTACGGCTTCCTGAGCCCCAAGCTCGAGGAGCTGAACATGGACCTCAAGTACCTGCAGCGCAACGTGAACGAGGGCTTCAGCGGCGGCGAGAAGAAGCGCAACGAGATCCTCCAGCTGGCGGTGCTGGACGCTGAGCTGGCGATCCTCGACGAGATCGACTCGGGGCTGGACGTGGACGCCCTCAGGGACGTGGCCACGGCGGTGAACTCATTGAAGAGGCCCGAGAAGGCCGTGCTGATGATCACTCACTACCAGCGGCTGCTGGACTATATTAAGCCGGACTACATCCACATCATGGTGAGTGCACCTGTGCTTGACTGGTAAAAGTAGGGTCAGTCCGGCCTTAGGAGTGTCAGTCTGGCCTTAGGAGGGTCAGTCTGGCCTTAGGAGGGTCAGTCTGGCCTTAGGAGGGTCAGTCTGGCCTTAGGAGGGTCAGTATGGCCTTAGGAGGGTCAGCATTAAGTGCGGTAGTGCATCATTCTGGACGAGATCGACTCGGGGCTCAACGTGGACACCCTCACGGACGTGGCCACAGCAGTGAATTCGCTGAAGAGGCCGGAGAAGGCTGTTTTCACGATTACTGAATTATGAGAGGCTGCTAAATTATACCGAGCGGGACTACATCCACATCATGGTGAATGCGGGCATGAGGGCTATGAGGGGGTTGAGGGCCTTGAGGGGTCTTCAGGGCCTTTAGGGCCTTGAGGGGCTTGGGGGGCGTGAGGGCCTTGAGGGGCTTAGGGGGCTTGGGGGGCGTGCGTCTTGTTCGCCGTGGGTAGGGGTTACTGGTGTGTTGTGCTTTGTAGGGGTACATTCATAGTTTGGTCTGGTATGGAAAGATGTGCTCATGGTCACTCATTATCTGAGGCGGCTGGACTCCATCAGGCCGGGGCTACATCCACATGGTGGTGAGTAGGGTGGGGCGTGTGTTACACTCATGTTACTAAGGTAAACTCGGTCGACCACCATCCCTCCCTCTCACAGCCTGGATTTGTGACCTGAGTCGTCTCATCTGATGTTTAAATGTCATGCCTGACATATATTATGGACTAAACATCCTCTCCCCCATCTCCTTCCCATTCATCTTACGATGCTGTGTTTTATTGCAGGAGCAAGGCCGTATTGTGTTGACGGGTGATGCGTCCCTGGCGTTGCAGCTGGAGGAGAAGGGCTACGCAGGCATCCAGAGCTAGAAACGGCTCTGCAGACCAGTTTTTTGGGGCTTATAACAGGACAGGAAGGTTTGGGTGGGATGTAGGGGGAAAAAACTTATAATTCTTCTCTATGCTGCTTCTAAACATAAAGAAGGGAAAGTATCCCGGCACTCAGTATTAGGGGCCTCGATAATATGTACGGTCAGTGACACGATATAAACAATCAGAATTAGCGAGTTTGTAACATGTTTAAGCAATCGGGTTCCATCGTTAGTCAGAAACTACAGGAAAAAAGTTACACGAATGGATAGTAGAAGTAACCCCCGGGCGTCATTGCGGCTAGCATGATATTTTTCCAGAGCTCTAGGCGCAGTTCGAGCGAAAAAAACACAAAATGCCCAAATTAAAATTCATTTGAAATTTGTCAGACGAGAAACACGAAAAAAAACGATTTTGTTGCGAAGCACATACTTTCGTCACAGAGGGTAGCATATCGCGCGATGATTAAAAATGGCGGCTTTGTCTCTACCGCATTTACAGCCCCAAAGAAAAGTCAAGCCATAAGCTTGTCATTCCCGAATCGCCCGAAAACAATAACATTTTCTTACAAACTTAGGACTCAAGGTTCTTAAACTTAGGAGGCTAGGTTGGCTAGGATACTAGGAAGAAGGCCGCCATGGAATGGCGTGAGGAATGTTAAAGTAGAAACGAATGATTACTAGAGGTGGAAACCTAGAACAAATACTAGTTGGTTGTACTCACTAGAAGCATACCTCAGTCTAGCCTATAACTTCTACATAGATAATATGTATAAGTTGACACACCCCCTAGGCTAGACAAGGGGTGAAACTAAACAAGAAGCAAACAGCTCAGGGCGGCACTACTAGTCCAACCACTGAGGCAGGGGTCTGGAGACCAGTCAGCAAGAATACAACCAAAACTGAAGCAAGCCAGGGTGGCACTACTAGTCCAGCCACTGGAGGTAAGGCCACAAGGCCAGTCTGACAAGCATATATAATAGAGAGTACACAATCAGGATCCTAACAGGGGAGCAGCTATAGGAACAAGACCAAGCTGTACACAGTGCCGCTGATGATCTTTAGGCGCAAGCGCCTTAGTAAAGATATCAGCTGTGTTGGCACCTGAGGCCAAGTGAACTACGCGGGCCTGGCGGCGCTGCTGTAGCTCGCGCAGGAGGAAGTACCGCAGCTGGATATGCTTCGCTCTGCCCTCAAGCCGAGGCTCCTGACACAGGAGTATCATGGCCCTGTTGTCAGCGTACAGGACCGGGGCAGAGCTAGGCCGCTCACCTAAGTCTGTGAGCAAGAAGGTCAGCCAGCGGAGCTCCTGTGCCGCCATGGCACCAGCGTAGATCTCAGCCTCACAGCTAGACTGAGCCACAGACGACGAGCGAGTGGATCTCCAAGAGAGCACCCGAACCAAGGCTGAAACAGTAGCCCTGCGACGACCTGAGCGTCTCAGCGTCGTCTGCCCAAGAAGCGTCTGTGTGCCCAGTAAGGACCACTGGCCTGCGTCCTCCTAGCACTAACCCCATGCCTGATGTACTAGCAAGATAACGCAAAACCCTCTTAGCGGCAGACCAGTGCTGAGGTCGGTGTCTGCCTGTAGCCACAAAGCGAGCCAGGATGCTGAGAGGGTATGCGAGATCTGGGCGAGTGCAAGTCATCAGGTACATGAGGCAACCCACCAGCTCTGCGTAGGGGCCACTGGGCTCTACTGGCTCCTCAGGAACGGGAGCAGAGAGCCCATGGTCTACGGGTAGAGGTGTGGGCTGTGCGGAGGAGAACTGAAGACCGAACCTCTGAAGGACCTGACGCACCAAGTGTGACTGGGTCAGAGTGATGGTGCGTGCTGCTCTGTCCCTAGAGATCTGCAGGCCAAGATAGCGACGCAGCTCTCCAAGGTCAGTGCAGGTGTGTCTCTTCAGCAGCTCAGCCTTCACAGAGGCCAGTGCGTCCCTGTCAGGAGTAGCGAAGACCAGGTCGTCTACGTAGACAAGGATGTAGAACGGAGTCTGGCCGGAACGCACAAACAGTGAAGGGTCAGCAGAGGACGGAAAGAACTGCAGGTCTGCTAACGTGGCACGTAGCGTGTCGTGCCACTCGCGGGGAGCCTGACGCAGGCCGTAGACCGGGCGCCTGAGAAGCCACTGGGTCCCAGGAGGGAAGGTACCAGTGAAGCCCTGTGGTCGGCGCAGGTAGACCTGCTCGTGTAGGCTGCCCTGAAGAAAGGCAGTAGAGAAGTCGAGGGAGTGAAGCTCGTAGTCACGCTGTGCTGCTACGTGTAGCAGCGCCCGAAGAGTGGTCATCTTCGGGGTCGGGGCGAAGGTCTGGAAGAAGTCAACCCCCTCGCGCTGACTGAAACCTCTGGCCACGTAGCGCGCCTTGAAGACAGGCGGCTCTCCAGGGGGGCGCTTCACCTTGAAGAGCCACCGACCATCGACTACGTTCACCCCAGGCGGGGGAACTGCGTCGACGTAAGTGCTGGTGGATCTCCAAGATGCCATCTCCTGCTCCATGGCAGCTATCCACTGAGACGCCCAAGGTCCCGAGGTGGCCTCAGCGTAGGTGCGAGGGGTCGGGATGTCGAAGGCGTCTGGGTCACCCTCAGGGACTAACAGCATGGAGCAGAGATGGGGAGCAGCCTCGGAAAGGAAAGCCAGCTCGTACTGCCTGTCCTCTAGGACGTCACTGCCAAGGGCAGGAGCACCCCCGACGGACAGAGGACGGGCAGGGTCAGAGACCAGAGCGGTAGCGTAGTCAAGGCGGCGGGTAGAAGCGAAGTCAGCGACAGCAGCGACAAGCGCGTCAAGGCGCGAGACAGGAACAGCAGGGTCGGTAACAAGAGAGGCAAGGACCCGAGGGACAAGGGGACGAGCAGCACGGAGGTAGTCAGAGAACGGAGGAGGTGCAACAGCAAGGGACGAGGGAGGAGGGGACGGGAGGAGGGGAGGACGAGACGAGTGGGAACGGAGCAACATAGGGTGGGTGGGCAGGACAGGAGAGACGGGACGAGCACGGGAGGGACGGCGAGCCCAAACGTGAGACGGAGGGGTAGGGTCAGGGGACAGCGGAGGAGACACAGGAGGGGAACGAGGAGGAAGACGGGCCGGAGACGAGTCTGGCGGCGGGAACACAGGACCGTAGACAGGGAGGTCAGGAGGCGGTGGGGGAGACACCAGACGGGGCAGGACGAGGCGGGAGAGGGGCAGGGGCTACCGGGGGAGAGGGAGCAAGGAAAAGGGGGGGGGCAACTGGGAGACCTCGGTGAGGGAAGCGGCGGTAGAAGGAGACGGACTCGTCAAAGGTGACGTCACGAGAGTGGAGGAAGCGGTGAGACGGCGGGTGGTAGAAAAGCCAGTCAGACGAGTCCAGGGGGAAACCGAGGAAGACACAGGGGACAGTGCGGGCAGTGAGCTTGTCCGTGCCAGAGGCACGAACGTGAGCAAGGCAGCCCCAGACGTGGAACGCAGACGCGTCACCGGGGGACCCGGTCCAAAGGAGGGTCGGCGAAACCTGCGGCCGCTGGGAGCGTGGCCACAGGTTAAGCTGGTGAGCCGCGTAGCGAACAGCGAACGGCCACAGAAAATGGGGGGCATCGGCATGGATCATGGAGGTACGGGCGACCTCCATGACCAAGCCGATGCGGCGCTCAGCAACCCCATTCTGCTGTGGCGAGTCCGGCAACGTGTACGACTGGGTGATGCCCTCCGCACGACAGAACTGTCCAAGCCGACCAGAGGCGAACTCGCCGCCACGGTCGGAGTGGAGACACAACACGGGGAGACCGCGGTGGAGACGCGCAGCCACAACCCACGGGAGAAGAACGTCGGGCACGTCGGCCTTCCGCTCCAGGGGAAACACCGTGGTGTAGCGCGTGTAGTCGTCGACGAGCACAAGGAAGTAGCGCTCACCGCGCGGTCCGGGGACGGGGGCAGGGCCCCAAACGTCCAAGTGCAGGGTCTGAAGGGGGGCAGTAGCAGGACGCAGCGAGGAGGAGTGAGGAGCACGGCGGAGCCGACCCTCGACGCAAGGCGTGCACGGTGGCGCAGTCGAGGGAGGAAGGGCAGGGAGCGACGCGGGGAGACCTAAGACAAGACCGTGCTGGGACATGTGACGCAGACGCGGGAGAGCAGGGTGACCTAAGCGGTGGTGCCAGAGAAGGGAGGGGTGAGTGAGGGACCGACACGAGCAAGCTGCAGCGACCTGGGAGGACGCACCAACCGGGGGGGAAGCGGTGTGTAGGGTAAACAGACCGGACACCGGGTCCCGGGGGAACGTCGCAAGGGGGGAACCTGAGACAGCCTCAGAACAGACAGCGAACCGCTCGTGCCCGGGGAACGTGGTGGTGACGCCGAGGTCCTGGAGACAGCCGACACCAACCAGGTTCCTGGAGAACGAGGGAACGTGGAGGCCAGTAAGGGAGCCCGAGGGAACTGCCGGACAAGGAAGGGACGTAGAACTGCGCGCGACGACCGGACCCGCAGAGGGGTCAGCGAGAGAGACAACAGCAGGTGCAGCAAGCGGCGTGAGCGTGGAACGGTCGCGGAAGAAGCAGGCAGAAGCACCAGAGTCGAGAGTGAAGGACAGCGACGCAGTGGCGGGGGCCGGGGACGGAGCCGGTGCAGCGACTAGACTAGGCAACCTAGGCAGTCCTACGCCTGTCGCAGCAGGGGAAGCTAAGCTACACAAGGGTGAAACACCTAAACTAGAGTACACAGGGTAGTAAGATCCATCAACACTAGAAGCGTCAGCATACAAAGCATGCAAAGCAGCACCTATCTGATCCATGTCTAACTCAAAGATCGGCACGCCCTGGCGGAGCAGGCTGTGCCAGTCAGGGAGGTCCGGGGCCGGGCCAAAGCGACGACGAAAAAGATCGTCGAGGCGGCGGAAACAGCGGGCGGTCGGGTGCGGGCGGCGGCACAGAGTGCCGCGGAGAGGCCCGGTCTGAAGCTGGTACTGGCAGGTCACAGCACTGGAGCCGCTGGTAGACGCCAAGCTGCGCGGGCCGCCACCACGGCCACCGCCTCCGGAGGTGCCGGGCCAACCAGGCGGGAGACGAGCCCACGGCTGCGGCGGGTGCTGCTGGGACGGCGGCTGCGGCTGGGGCTGGTCCTGCTGCTGCTGGGACTGCTGCTCCTGCCCACCGGTGGTAGTCCCCTCAGGCGGACTACCGTCACCACCACCACGACCACTACCACCTGCGTCACC